CATCATTTATATCGCTATCATCCTTCGTCTTGTAATCATCCTTCTTTTTCGCACCATCCTTCTTGTCAACCTTCTTCTCAACAACCTGGTCATCATTCTGGTAATCCTGTCTCCTCTCATCATCCTTCTTCCTCTGGTCCTTCTCCCTCTCATCATCCTTCTTCCCAACGTCCTTCTTCCTATCACTACCCTTCTTCTCCTCATCCTTCTTCCTCTCACCATGCTTGTTCTTCTCATCACCCTTCTTCTTCTCGCCCATCTTCCTATCATCATGCTTCTTCTTCTCATCCTTCTTCTTCTCATCATCCTTCTTCCTCTCATCATCCTTCTTCCCATCATCCTTCTTCCTCTCATCATCCTTCTTCTTCTCATCATCCTTCTTCCTCTCGCCCTTCTTCCTATCATCATGCTTCTTCTTCTTATCATCCTTCTTCCTCTCGCCCATCTTCCTATCATCATGCTTCTTCTTCTCATCCTTCTTCCTCTCACCATCCTTCTTCTTCTCACCATCCTTCTTCCCATCTTCTTTCTTTTCATCTCTCCTCTTATCATCGACCCTCTTCTTCTCACCATCCTTCTTCTCATCTTGTCTCATATCGTCCTTCTTCTCATCATCTTTTTTCCTGTCTTCTTTCTTATCATCTCTCTCGTCATCATCCTTCGGTTCACCCATCCTAGACTTTCTCCTCAATCTCTCTAATTCCATTATCACCCTCTTATGCTTGGCACTATCGCAATGCCGTTCATACCTATACTTGGTGTCGAAGACAGCATCCTTACAGTAGACCTTTTCACGATAAAAGCCGCGCATGCGCATAAATACCCTTGAGTGGCAAGCCGTCTGTTTACATTCGATACAAGATGGCGTCCATCGATAAATTGAGAAAATTGAAACTAACTGATTTGAGAGTTCTTGCAATCGAGAAAGGGATAGATGCCAATGGTAAAAAGAAACAGGAGTTGATAGAAGACTTGTTAAACAGCCAGGTTCCAACTTCAGTTTTGACACCCGTACATAACCAGTCAACACCCGTCATTAATCCAACGCCAACCAAGTCTGCCACCAACGTCAACGATAAAGAGAACCTGCCTCCCTTTCATCGAGTCAAATATCTGCCGCAACTACCTTACATAAAAGTTTTGTTTACGATGATTTACGATTTCCTGATAACGAGAGCAACAGAGTCGAAATGCTAATAATTTTAAAGGACTTGACAAGGCAGTCAAACACCATGATGCAGGAGACGTGAAAAACATTTCACATGCAAAGGTACATAATCGTCCAACTAATATATGACATCAATTGTTTATGGTAGTAGATCTAGATCTTCAAAGCATAATGCTATGTAAATTACTTCTGTTAATATGGTACACAGCTTTTTTGCATGACACCTAATATTTGTGTAGAGTAAAGAGCTCCCCCCTCCTTACCTCACACACACACAATTATTGTCTCATAATTACCTAGATCTACACATTGAGTCTAATATAACTTTATCAAATATTAGAGACAAGGAACAGAAACTTACTCTCATCCTTACAGCCCCTACATTTATATTTTTAAAATAGGCCTACTAGATATTTTATTTAATCTCAGATTAAACAAGTCCATAACTTACCAAGGTTTGTGAGAAAAGTG